ACTTGTTTTTCTGCTTCCTATCGTACCTTTTTGTCTGCTATTCACTCTTTTGCAGAACCTCAGTCTTATAAGGAGGCCTGTCAGGATCTTCATTGGGTTCAAGCTATGGAGGATGAGTTGTTTGCTCTACAGAAAACGAGTACTTGGGAGTTGGTTCCTTTACCTGTTGGTAAGAATCTAGTTGGTTGCAAATGGGTCTACAAAGTCAAGACTCATTCTGATGGTTCTCTTGAGCGCTACAAAGCTCGTCTGGTGGCCAAAGGTTTCTCCCAGGAGTATGGTATTGATTATGAGGAGACATTTGCTCCTGTTGCCAAGATGACTACTGTCCGTACTTTGATTTCTGTCGCTGTTGTTCGTTCTTGGCCTCTTTATTAGATGGATGTTAAGAATGCTTTTCTTAATGGCACTCTCACTGAGGAGGTTTACATGCGTCCTCCCCCTGGTCTTCACCATTCCTCTGGCCAAGTCTGTCGTCTTCGGCGTGCTCTATATGGTCTGAAGCAGTCTCCTCGTGCTTGGTATGATCGCTTTCAGACTGCTGTTACCGAGCTTGGGTTTCATCCTTCTGCTTCCGACTCTGCTTTATTTCTAAGATATACCTCGGCTGGTTTTGTTGCTCTCTTACTATATGTAGATGATATGATCATCACTGGCTCTGACTCTTCTGCTATCTCTGAGGTCAAGCAGCATCTCTTTCGCACCTTCGAAATGAAGGATCTGGGACTATTGCGGTATTTTCTTGGCATTGAGGTGGCTTCTTCTCCCAAGGGTTACTTTCTGTCCCAGGCTAAGTATGCTAACGAGGTTATCCATCGTGCCAGACTTACTGACACTAAGCTGTCTGATACCCCCATTGAACTTAATGTAAAGCTCAACACTACTGATGGGGTTCCTCTAGATGATCCTACGTTGTATCGCGAGCTTGTGGGTTGCTTAGTCTATCTGACAGTTACTCGCCTTGATCTTGCCTATGTTGTCCATGTGATTAGTCAGTTTGTTTCTGCCCCTCGCTCTACACATTGGGCTGCTTTGCTTCGGATTCTTCGTTATCTTCGCAGTACTATCTTTCAGGGCTTGCTGTTCTCTTCTACTTCTTCCTTAGACTTGGTGGCTTATGCTGATGCTGATTGGGCTGGTGATGTTAATGATCGTAAATCTACTTCTGGTTTCTGTATGTTTCTTGGCGATTCCCTAATTTCTTGGAAAAGTAAGAAACAGACTGTTGTTGCCCGTTCTACTGCCGAAGCTGAGTATCGTGCTATGGCTCATGCTACTGCTGAAATTGTCTGGCTTCGTCAGCTCTTATCTGAGTTGGGCGTCCCTCAATCTTCCCCAACCTCTCTCTATTGTGACAACCGAAGTGCTATTCAAATTTCTCATAATACTGTCTTCCATGAACGGACAAAACATATTGAGATTGATTGTCACTTCGTCCGTCAGCATCTGCAGTCTGGCTTTATCTCGCTTCCTTTTGTCTCTTCGGCTCTGCAACTTGCTGACTTCTTCACTAAGACTCACACCACTGCTCGGTTTCGGTTTTTTCTTGACAAACTCTCAGTGTTTTCTGCTAAAACACCTTGAGTTTGAGTGGGGGTGTGAGAATATGTGTTCTCCTCGGATTAGGAATAAGTGTCCTATGTCTATTAGACTTCTATATATCTCAGTAATGTATTCATGTAAGGTTAGGAATTAGTGGTACTCTATATAAATGATGTATGTATTCTTTGTTCAAATTAATTCAATCTAATATACAGGTTGTTTAGAAAACTTACAATTCCTTCATTAACAACTCAACTAAATCTTAGTTTCTTCTCAATCTTAGATGGTAGATAAGTTTACTACAAGAATTAGGGCTCAAACTTACCTTAGAATGATCAAAAGATGAATTATTGATGATTCTTCAAGTTCTCTTTTTCTTCGTCTCTCTCTTTTGCTCTTTCTTTTTCCAGCAGAATTTCTCTTCTTTGATTTGGTTTTATGTAGTCAAGGTAAGACAAAAGGGTGGTAAGGACAAAAGACTGGGTGGGTGGGACAAAAAGGGAGGTGTGTGTTTGCTTCCTCATTTTCCTTAATCTTCACCATTAGTTTAATTAATCAATCTTAGTTATAATTAATCAAGGTTAGTATCTAATTCATCAAGGTTAAACTTAATCTTGCTTACTTAATTAATCTTGTTTAAGGCTCTCTAATCTTACTTAATTAATACTAATCTTGATTAGCAAAATAACATTTAGTATTAAAATAACCAGCACATTAGCCTAAGATCTTTAAGCTCTTCAATTAGTGCTTAGGCACATCCTAGCATTCACAAATTCTAAACTTGAAGTGTCCCCTAACTGTTAGTAATCTTCAAGTATTTCACTTCTCAAGTTTGTTTAATCAAGGCATGTCTTTCATTTCTAAGTTTCTTGCCAATTGTATTCATCTTCTAAGGTTTCATCTTATCAATTCGTATTTCTATCTTTAAAGTGTGTAAGGTCATTAAATTAAGGCAAGTGTTCGGTCATATGATGTAGAAATACTTTTGATGTAATACATGCTTGCTATGTTCAAGAGGTGGCTAGTTCTTAAGTCTTAATAGTTGATAGTGAAATTCACATGTTCCAAGCTTCCTAATCACTCATTTCTAAGCTTTAGCTTAAGTATTTGTCTAATGAGATAGTTAATTTGACATAGGATATTCAATGATGGATAATAATATAGTTATAGCACATGGCATTCTTTGGGGTGTGACACACTTTCATTGCTTTGTTAAAAAATATTAAGTCTCTCATTGACCCAAATATTGGTTATGAATTTATTGATGGGTATTAGTAATTTTGATTTTTAAGTGAATTCAAAGGTATTGGAAAGTTTGGATTTGAGGATAAATTTAGTGAGGTGAGCAGATAGTTTGAGTTTTGAGGTGAATTTGTTGGTGGGTATGACGATATTTGTTTGCATGTTATTTAAATTTTGCTATCCATGTAATCTTTTTTATTTTTTATTTTTAGAGTGAATTGATCTGAGGAAATTTGTTTACATGTAATTAAAATCTTGCAAGTCATGCAATATATAATAAGAATTGATTGAGACATTTATGAAAAATTTCATAACTGTCATTCAAGACATTGATATAGATGGATTTGGGGCTTAGATTACAAAAAACTTTGACACTCTAAAATATTTATTTGTTTTTATTGTCAACTACGATAAAAATTTAAAGTATAGTTTTAGGAAAGGTTTTGCCCCTACTGGACAAAAATTCTGGCTCCCTGCTAAGAAATGAAATCAGTTCGTCCTGCTATGGATCTATAATCTGGATCGTCGTAGAGAAATTTTTTGCTTTGGATCTATAATCATTGTAGAGCAATGTTTTGAAGAAAATGAAGGAACTTAAGTGAAATACAACGAACAAATGGTGAGGAAAAGAAGAAATCTATCAAGAGAATAGAGATAGAAGAAAATATAGAATATAACAAGAAGAATAGTAGATACTTGTAATTAGGGGTGGAAATTGGGCACGTAACTCGTTAACACGACTCGAATCGTACAAATAACTGAGGGTGAGGGTTAATCATTTTTTGATTCAAACTTGAATATGACAAGACCCAAAAACACGAATATTAAATAGGTCATGTTTGGGTTGAACACGCCAAACCCAAAATGGACACATTTGACCGCGTAAATATTCGTGTCGACACATTAACCTGTACCCGCTGTCGACTTGCATTAGTAACCATAAAATCTTGAGTAATTCGTTCTCATCTGTTAGATTTAAACTTAAATCTCTATATAATATATATACCTAATGAAGTGCAACTGTAACTTAATGATAAATCGGCAGAAGTCAAGATCGGTAGACAAAAGAGTTTTTGAATGTATGGTAGTAGTGTTTTTGTGGCAGAAGTCAATGTGAAAGAATCACAACAATGTTATTTTGGAAGTGGCATAGCTGCAACATTATTATTATTAGTTTGGTATTTGATGAAAACTTGTTTTGCTTTTAAAAATTATTAGATATTTAAATATTAATGAGTGACAATAATTTGTGTAATGGATTAGTGATGAATATTTGTAATTATTTTCTGTGATATTGTCATATATATATATACATATATATTATCATTATGCGTCAATGTTTAAACAAGTTATTCTTATGCATATGATGTGAAACGGTTATTTTTATTTTATTTTTAAATAGGCTGTACAATTTGCTTATAATGTTAAATATGAACTTTTGCTAATTGTATTCAGTGTGTCTTGTTAGGGTTAACACAATTATCTATAAGTTAGGTTAGTGTCAAGATAATTAACACATTTTATTAAATGGGTTGTGTTAGTGTTGGATTGTTTTGAACATGAACCCAATGTGACACGACACGGTACGATTCCCACCCCTACTAGTAATGCCTCTACATACATTTTGTCTGAAATATCTATATATCCAAGTGCTATTCGTCATTATTGTTCATGTCTTAGAAATCGTTTTACTTTTCTACTATATATACATATATATATTTTTCTTCTTTTTTCTTTTGTTCTTTTTTGGCTAAATGGCTAAACCGTTCTTAAACTACTTCTTCAGCCTTTTACCAGTTCTTTTTTTTTTTTTCCTTGACATGCTAAGACTATCCAGGCGCTCAAGTTGACAGCTATGGTTAACATAAGTGTCTGCATGCGTGTTGTGTAGTGACTTTATGTGACATTGGTCAATGGTTTTAAGATGAGCTCCCACAGTCTAAGAAGTTTTTTGTTTTCCAATTTCTTAAGATGGATGGTAAATTTTTAATGGTGGCAATGGCTTTCTACATTTAACTCCAGTTTGTGGTACATTTTGGTTTCAGTTAGTGAATTTGCCTTTGTAAAGCATGATTCTAGATTGGCTATCTAGCTAGTTGCAACATGCTTCTTTGATCGCATGTTCCTTTTTGTGAAGTATTCCTGTTACGAGAGACAGAAGTTTCCTCTTGGGCTTGCCTGTCCCTTACTTTTTTCTTTGGCTTCCTGTGTTACAGATCTGACGTTCTAGGACAATTTATGCCCTGGGTTGGAGTAGATTGGTCACAGACTGGTGTTGCTCATCTATTTTCTGATATTAAGGTTTCTTGAATCTCTCTTACGTGTTTATTTATTGTCATTTTTAATCTTCAAGCTAATGATTCATTTGCAAATCATGACTGCTTTACATTAAAAAACATGTACACAATCATGTATCCCTCCATTGATATCATTACTCATAGCCTAACTGTATTGACAAGATTGTTAGAAATTTTTTTAAACCCATTTTGCTCTTTCAAATTGCAGGAAAATGGGTATCAATTACTTTTTCTAAGTGCACGTGCTATTTCTCAGGCCTATCACACTAGACAATTCCTCTTTAACCTTAAGCAGGTGATTAAGCAAGTGCTGAGAAATCAAAGTCAAAAGTGTGTTTGATTTGTTCTGTCTACTTTCTATTTCCTCTAACAGAATTTATTTATTTCCTTCGCAGGATGGAAAGGCTATACCAGATGGGCCTGTTGTTATTTCACCTGATGGACTCTTTTCCCTCTTTGTTTCGAGAAGGTACTTGGTCAAGTGTTCTGTTTCTTGAAACTCATCTGTGGATAATTGCCTGATATTTGCAAAGTGTGTAACTTTATTTATGTGCAAGTGTTAACATTTTCCCATTTGGAATTTCGGCGATGTGCTCCTGAGTGACCTCTGACTTCTCATTATGTCCTGCCTTGAGAAGTAACATGAAATTAGGTTTTTCTCCACGAATCAGTGACCAAACTGTGGTAGATGTCTTGAGTTGACAACAAACGCATATTTTTCTCCAAGTGAAACTTCTATGCTTGAGTACCTTATGCATACATACTTTTCATCATTACCACCACAAATGTTAAAATCCTGATCTTAAGTTGATCTTTCTAAAGTTAACCATATTTATCCTATTTGCTTTCCCCAGTGGCATCCTCTATTAGCTCGTGGACTTCAGAATCTTTATGTCACTTCATCTATGTTTCATTTGGTTTTCCTTTGTCCTAATGCATGGATTATTGCATTTAATCATGGAAAAGGTTTCCCCATAATAGTAATTGGTAGCTTGTCTTCACAATTCTTATTGCTTTATCCAATGTTAGAAAAAAGAACAGGAATCATTATTTGCAATCTCTCCAAATAACTGGTCTTACAGATTTTGCAATCTATGAAAGGGTTAGTTTCCCTTGTGATTCATGTCTTCCAGGTTCTGGACATGATTGATTTGGATTACAATGAATTAAGTACTTCAGAATTTGGAATTAGAGAACGGTTGTTTTTGGTGAATTTTGTAACAAGGCAATAAGGTTGAATATGGAGAGATAATAGAGCCAGGAAAGAAGAAAGCAAGAACACAAAGGTTTAATGTGATTCGATTCGGCCAATATTGGCCTACATTCACACACACAGCCCTAGGGCTACATCTTTCATTCAGTCAACTCCATACTATTGTTTACATAATGCACCATATATATCGAGTGGAAGATACAATCAAATCCCTTCAGTTAAGGAATTGAAATAAATCAAAGATACAAAAAATCATAACAAGCACAAATCATGGGATCTCCACATATTTTAATATCTTCTACATCTTTTGATATCTTTGACAATATAATCTTGTCTCCAATACTTCCCCTCAAGTTGGAACACGGAATGGTTGAAGTGAAGTATTTAACTTGAACTCGAAAATAGGATGATCATTACAAACAACTGCAATGAAGTTGCCGGAAGACAACAATAATTGTAATAACTCCCGTTAATGACAACTTTAATGAACATAGGCAAGGAATTAACATCTTACAACATAGAAATGTGCATTGAATCAATCATGATGGCAGTGAGAGAAAGCAAGCAAGAAAGAAAGCAACAATGCCGAAGTAACAGCAAATCACCACAAATAGAAAGGTTGAAAAAATGGCATCCCACAAATAAAGCTACCGAACACACCGGTAGCCCAAAAACAAAAAAGAACCAAATATGTGCTTACCACATCTGCACAGGGACCCTAAAAGGGTAGAGAACTAGTCGGAAAACTTAGCGTATCATAGGATAATGCTACTGAACACATTGGCAGCCCCGAAACAAGTAAAAATCACAAAGTTTGCTTATCACATCAACAAACTAGTGATTAAGAAGGAAAAAAACCTTAATAACAAAAAAATGTAGAGAGAAAGCACTCCATAGAGCAACATGCCTAGGGTTTAGTTTATGTTACATGGACACAGGTATAGGTGCAGGTATGTATCTAGAGGTCGGATTCATCAAATTATAAATTTAAGGATATGCGGACTCGGCAAAAAAATGTCAAATTCAAATAGTTTTAATCAAGTATGTGAGATAGGATGGTGCTATATGTAATTTACAGTGTCAAAAAGGCATTTATGGAAATTATACAACAGTATGTGCATATATTAGTAGTGTTAAATACAATTATATAAGAAGTGTCCAATGAAAAGTATTTGACACATATCCCATACTCTTGTCTATGTGTCAGGTGTCCGACACGGGTATTTGATTTATTGTGAAGAGTCTGTGTAATATAAGGTTTAGTAGGCTCTAATATCAAGTTAAATTTTGTAACAAGGCAATAAAGTTGAATGTGGAGAGATAATAGAGATAGGAAAGAAGAAAGCAAGAACACAAAGGATTAACATGGTTCAACTAATATTGGCCTACATCCATACACACAAATCCCTAGGGAGCTACGCCTTTCATTTACTCTACTTTATACTCTTGTTTACATGATGCTGTGAGCATATTCGGCTTTATGTATATATGATAGTATATATATTTTGTATATATTAGGGATTCTTTTTTCCTTTTTCAGTCATACGTTAGATTGTTATATAAACTGAAGTACTCTTGTATTACATGCACAATTGAATATACAGAAATTATTCAGAAAACTTACATGGTATCAGAGCTTGGTTTGAAACCCTAACAACCATTGTGTATTCCTGGTGTGAACCTCAGAATCAATTGAGTTCTCTGGTTCTTGTCTGGCTCAAGAAGATCCAGCTGATTCTTCTTCTTTCCTTCGTTTGGTTCGAAGTTGGTCGCCTCATAATTGACCTCGTTGAGTTCTCTGTTGCATCTCCTTCGCACAACCCATCTGGTTCGAAAATTGTCGACCCATCTGGTCTGAAATCGCAAATCGATTTTAGCTGAGATCAAAGGTTTCTAGTTCGACACTGAACTCACAATCTCTCTTTGGTTCAGTTCTCTGGCTCAGTTCACCATCTACTTCACTTAGCTTGTGTGACTCCCTGGGTTTTCGTCGTGGTTATTCCCGCTCTATTTCAACTTCATCTATTGAAGTTGCGACATCAGTTCTTCGACTTCGTCTTCGTCAGTTGTTGGAATTGTGACATCAGTCGCACCAGTCAGAGTCGTGACCTATTGCATCGCGACATCTCTCTCCCTTTTTCTAAGTCTCGGGTGTTCCTCTTTGGCTAGCCACAGTTTTCTCTTATTCTTGTTTGGACCAATATTACAATTTGATCCATCAGTTTTCTATTTATTATAGTTTACCCAATTGGTTCTCTAGTTTTGGTTCATTATGATGTTGGATACCCATTAGCTTCAGCCTTTTGCAAATCCCAAGAAAGGGCCACTAACTTCAAATGAGTGTGCCTTCTGCTATCAAAGGGGCCATTGGAAGTACCATTGTCCCAAGAAGGGACGTCTTCCTACCTTGTCTTTTCAGCAGTCTTAGAACTAATTCCGGGCTTCTCCCACTGCTTATATTGCATTTGGTCTGGCTTCTGATCTTGAGTTGCCTTCCTTGAGTGCTCAAATCAGTCAGCTTCAACATATACTGTCTACCTCCCAACTATCCCCATCTGCTCCCATTGTTTCCCCTATTCATTCAGGTTTACTTGGGCCTTCTTCAAGTATCTCTTCGTTTGTCTGGATTTTTGACTCTGGTGCCTCTCATCATATGACTCTCCATTTCTCCTTTAAAATTATACTCCTCCTCCCTTTTCTATTATTGTTAATGCTGCTAATAGGTATGGTATGCCTATTATATCTGTTGTGCTTGTCTTACCGTTAGCTATGTCTGCTGTTTCTATTCCATCTTATCTGTCAGTTTATCATCTATCAGCCAGCTTGATGCCTCCGATTTTGATGTTATTTTTTCTTCTTCTATTTGTTTTGTGTAGGATCGGATGTCCAAGCAGCAGATTGGGATTAGTCGTAGAGTTGGAGACCTCTATGTGATGGAGAGCCTACATCTGTCTATGAATACCTCTCCAACTGTTTTTTCCTTTTTTCAGTTAGATTCCTTGTCAAGTCCTTTCTGTTAGCATATTATATGATTATCTGAGTGTTAGCATATTAGTTTGTAATTATTCTGCATATTAGTTTGTAATTATTCTATGCCTCAGGGCTCCCTTGTAATTTTTACGAACTTTAATCTACATTTATATAAATAGGGGATGATATCCTATCAAACCCTAAGCTGGTTACTCTCTAAAAGCTTCATGGTATCAAAGTAGAACCTCTAGGGTTTCGGCTCACCCTTGTTGGTCGACCTTTGCACCAACGATCACTCTAGGGTTCGAAACTTACCTGGGTTGGTCATTTGCTGGAGTCGACTTCTCCTATGCTATCGAGCAGCTTCAGTTGTCGTTCATCTCCTCTGCTTCGTCACTCAGTCGATCTCCTCTGCTCATCTTCAGTTCGTCATTCGTCAATCTTCAGTCGACCGATCTCCTCTGTTGCCTTCATCACTCAGTTGCCTTCGTCACTTAGTCGCCTTCCTCAGTCGCCTTCGTCACTCAGTCAATCTCCTCTGTCGATCGATCGATCGATCTCCTTTGGTATACCCTCTGTTTGATCTTACCTTGATATGTTGTGTATAGGCTTTTGATCTTCAACACAGGTTCTCAAAAATTTAAAAAAAAAAAAAAACAAAAGGAAAAAAAAAAAAAACTCTAAAAAAAAAAAAAAAAAAAATTTTTTATTTTTTTTTGTGCTAAAAAAGAAAAAAAAAAAAAACTCACAAAAAAAAAAAAATGTTTTCTTAATTTTGTTATGCCTTTATAGTGGTCATTGTGTCTGTTCTTTCACTACCACCTTCCAGGTTTGTGATTGCCACTAGTTTTGTTGTGGGTTCGGTAGTATCGTATCCATGGCAGATTCCACCAGTGTGTCCCCTACCTCTCAAACACCTAGGAGTGAGAGTCCCATTATACCGACTACCATGCCTGATAACCCCAACCCTAGTCTGAAAATCACCATCTCTCTATTTAATGGTCAGAACTATCTAGTATGGTCTCAGAGTTTGACTATATTTTTGAAGAGCAGAGGGAAGATGGGGTATGTTGAGGCAGGATACAGACACCTGGCACCACTGACCCGGGTTATGGCCAATGGGTGATTACTAACTCTTTGATTATGGGTTGGCTTATTCATTCGATGGTTCCAGAAATTGGTGAGGGCTACTTGTCTATGGAGACTGCCCAGGATGTTTAGGATGTTGTGGCTACCACCTATTCCCGCAAAGGGAATTTCTCATAG